GGGGGTACATAGTATACCCCCAATAAAGACACCGCTCGTGCTTGCCAGCACTGTGATATTATAATAATAATGTCTCTAAACATTGATCGCTTCTCGTGTGCAGTGTGTAGACTAAAGAAAGAGGGAGTTTTTCCCGTTAAAGTAACTTGTGGCCACATCCCGCTAGAAGTGAGTAAACTGTGCCACTATTTCATGGTCCATGGTGGATTGATTACTGGAGCAGTTGAAGATGCAAAGCCGCAAGGCCCAAGACGTTCCCCAATACCAAGCGGTGGGCAGGAAATTAAGCTCCGGCTGACCTTCAGAGCATGCAGTAGCCCCATTAGCGGACAAAATGAAAGTCTTGTTAAGACAACAATACAACTTCGAATTTGACGGTCAGCAGCTCAGGGGGATATCAATCTTACTATATATAAAGCGAGACGATATATATTATATATATCTTACTATATATAAAGCGAGACGATATATATATATTTATTTATCTGTGCCATTTTACTGACACCACGGCATCAACTTTAACACGACTTTCCGCAAAAACCGTAAAAGATATACAACTGAAACTTTTTTGACTGGGTCAAATGCTTTAATGGCCTTCAAATCAGCATGAAAAAATAAAAAATTGGCCAATTAATAATGATTTTAGAGCCTAAAATTTGGACCCCCAAGTGGTGTCAAAAACGCGATTTAAATAGGTAATAATTATTTTAGTATTTTGAGTCTTGACACCGTTTAGGGTTATATTATACGGGTTCCTGCTAGTACTGGTAAAGTACCATGATAATTAACTACTGGTAAAAATACTGGTAAAATTAACACTCAGAAACATATCTGAAGCTAACGTTCGATGCACAACTTTACCAAATCCCAATTCTCGTGCACATACATAACAACTGCGCGATGCTTAAGATTATTACTACCAATACTTGAACGTCGCGTCGTGAAGATATAATGGCTCCAGAGGATGACCACACTCTCTCTAGAGTTATACTATGGATGATGATTAATCACTCTACACTCGACGGTCACGTGACTTCTTTAACCCGTTCTCTAGCTGGTCCTGAACGACTATTCAAAACCCCAACCCTCATAATCTGATCCCAACCCTAACCCTAACCCAATCCTTAACAAAAGCATATGCTGAAACCCTACCCTAACGAGAAATTAGATTAACTTTCTTATACGGTCATATCACGTGATAGAGACAGTTTTTCGCCAATATCTCGCCAGGGGAGCATTTTAACCCTATGTCATGGGGTGGCGCGAAAGCACATGGTTAGGTGATCTGAAGCTTTTACCTAATCCCACTGAAGAGCTAAACACGGACCCAATAAAAGTTAAATGATAAAATATCGAAAATCCTCAGTTTTAAAAGTTCATGAATAACAAATCAGATCTAAAGTTTCCAGCACTTTTTCAGTTGGAAACCATAAACAATGTTTTTTCTTGTGGTCCCAGTCTTCGTATTTGCTCACTACAATACTATTTACCTTTTTCAAATGCTCCCCTGTGCCCTGACGAGTTTTCGTCGAAAAACCGTCTTGATCACGTGATATGACCATATAAGGAAGTCCGGTCTAATTACTTCCTTGATCATACTTTCATATAATTATAATTATAACTGTATAAAAAGGAGACACTGGCGACGGTCCACCCAATTTTCGTAAAATGGCCAATAATAAATTATGTTACCCAGCTAGGAAAGTTTATGCAGTGTACTATGCCAGTATACCATAGTATATAATACAATTACAAAGGGTTAGGGTTTCGATTATTCATTGATCAGGGCCACTTAAAGGGCCATCTATGATTGATCTACTTACGAGTCCTAAGTTACGACGTCCGCCAAAATCGCAGATTTTCAGGCCTCCCCCTGTCCGGGTGTGTCTGAATTTCAAAACCCCGGCCCCCTCTCCCGCATCCCGGACGTTTGGATTTCCAGCTACTCTTAAAAAGTACAAATGAAACCATCTCAAATTCATTTTTAATAAAATGTGTTGGTTGACGATGTCAACCCATCGAGATCGTTGCTCGGCGAAGCAAGAATGCTAGTTCGCGCGGCGCGTCGAAGCGGCGAAGTCCTCCAATAAAATGTGTAGTTACTTAAAAATAGTCAATAATACATTTAGTGTCTAACAAGTTTGTTTGTTTGTTTCATTGTTTGTTTCAAAAGTCTACAAATTGGGAGCCAGAATAAATAAAAACATTACACTAACCCGCAACCAACTTGTATCACGCGGTGACCCCCACTGCCGCTTCACTATAGCGTCTTCGACGCTACAGGGGGAGCCGCGCACTTCGTGCGCGGCGGGTCATACAACGTATGACAAGGAAACCACACTCTTTGCTACACGTTGTATACCTCTCGTGCGGCCGGCCGGCCGCGCGCGCTTCGCGCGCGCTCAAAAGGGGTTACAGCGTGTGTCAACACACTCTACAAGTTCGATCCAGTGCAATGCTATATTTACGTACTACGGCTTTATCTCCAACTTTCTGCACAACGTACTGGAATGTTTTGAAGGGAGAAAAGGGAAAAAAATTATCTATAAATAAAATCAGCGATTTAATGTTAGGACGGTAACTTTAATTCCTTGGTTTCTAAAATCAGCTTCTTTTTAAAAAAATAATAAAGTTGGTAACGTCGATACCAACAATGTTATTTTACTGTTGCGAAGCAAGATTGCTAGTTTGCGCGGCGCGTCGAAGCGGCGAAGTTCTCCAAGGAAAATTTAACGGGTGATACTCGTAAAATATCTGTTTCATATATTGGACCGTCGACGAGTCCAACTCGGCGCGCGTCTAGGTAGGTTGTAAACCTACAAAGGAAAATGCCTGTGGAGTGAAAATAATAAATTTATAATGAATTAATTATGTATGGAATTTTGGCTGAGAAATCCTAAAATAGTAGCTCAATTTTAATATATTGTCTTTTGGATCTCCGGCTAGTTTTGATAGTTACACTCTAGGTAGTGCGCCATCGACAGTGAGCCGCGCGTGCCGACTGTAGGATGGTTTTTTAGCGCTAATTTCGGCCAGCACAATTTTCTTCAAACAAATAGATATTGAGTATCCTTCCCGACCTCCAATTGCAACAAAAATTGGTAAGCTTACTAGTTCATAGTTACTCATAGACTTACACATTACAAGGAAAGTGTCCGAAAAATTTAAAGCATATCCAACCATCAGACATTATGTTACAGCTAAAAGCAGCGTATTTTGCCCCATTTTGATCACTATATCAACTCCGATATCCACCAAATTTTTCGGACAGTTGTGAAAGCTTTATTGGAAGGTCGTCGCCAATTTCCAGAATGATCTCATTTAAGGAACTGAAGATATATCCGAATAATACGACAAAAATGGTCAAATTTGGACGAATTTGGTCAAATTACGCAACTTTTACAGCTACTTTTGCTCCAAAAGCCGCGCACCATCAAATATGGCACCTAGGCGAAACTGATCACTAATCTTTCCAAAAAGGTATAAAAAATTTGGTATTGTCAGTTGTGAAAATTCTCACAATCTCTAGAAAACAGTGGTACAAAAATTTTTTAAATCCGAGCAAGTTTATTTTTATTGTGCACCCCCTAATTACACTGTGCTATACGCTGTATGACCCGCCGCGCACGATCGAGTGCGCGGCTCCCCGGCCCTGTATCGTCAGGACGATGGGGGTCACGACGTGATACAAGTTACACTTACAGCTCAATCATTTTGCAAATTTAGCCGATATGCCAACAAAATAACTTTTTTTATCTAGACACTTATTTTACTTCGGTGTATTCCAACAGCCACAATGTTACACAAGTGCAACCAGCCAATTACAGGAAGCCGAAGGATCTTTTTGGCCAGTGACGGTTAAGGTAGTGTGTACCATACTTTCTTCGTCCGAGACTTTGCTGCAATGTGCAGCTCCTCGTTTAACCCTCTCACCCGATTTCTCGAGTATTCGGCTGAGTAGACCGGGGGGCTGCATAGACCACTCATGATCCTTAGCTGAACGTCGACGACGCTCACCCCACGACCAGGCAGTCAGTGGGTTTCGAACTCGCAACCTAACGATTGTAAGACAGGCGTTCTAACCAACTGCGCGCGCTACCTGGCCGTTAAACTACTTACTGGGCGGCACTCAGCCTGTCATTCCGCCGAATCTCTATTCGGCTGAATATGTTTAAATTATGAACATACCCTTAAAACCACCCTTAGCATATAATAATACTAGTGACTAGGGTCCCAGGTAACAAAATAACTTGCTCAAAGGTATCTATATTTTTCAAAAACATGTGACATAGTTTTTGGCTTAATTTTGCCAACAACAAACTAGCAGTGTTTTTAGCGATTTTTACATTACTGATCTAAAAATACGTCTTATAGTAGTTTCCATGGGGTCTATACCTACTTTTTTTTATAAGTAGGTATATAGTAGTGCGCCATCGACAGTGAGCCGCGCGTGCCGACGGCGACTGTATGTAGGATGGTTTTTTAGCGCTGCCGCTAATTTCGGCCAGCACAAAATTCTTGAAACAAATGCGTATTGAGTAACCTTCCATTGATCCAATTTTAACAAAAATTTGTTAGCTTACTCATAAATTGATTCACGATGTCAATCCTTCGCATCTCACCGATCTGTGGTTATGAGAAGCATTATTGGATGCGCGCGCGACCCAGTTAAGTAGTGCATCGCGCTACAAACTCATAGACTTACAAGGAAAGTGTCCGAAAAATTTAAAGCATATCCAACCATGTTGGCAGCAGTGAGCAGCAGTATCGTCAGGACGATAAAGGGGACCACCTAGTGAAACGACCGTGGGGTTCACGGCGTGATACAATATTTTACCGAGTGGGTGCTGCTTTTAGTTTTAGCAAATTTCCATAAGTATGCTTTACAGCAAATGATCAAGCATTTTTTAATTTTAATTTTCTTTTCAACTAAAACTACTTTATTTGTGGACAATTATTATTTTTCCGATGAAAATATCTGAGTCATAAAGAGCTACGAATTTTTATAAGAAAGTGTAAATCTAAAAACAAAATATAAGATAAACTTTCTATGCTAACGGTTTATTACATAACTGACAATGATTCAAAATTCTAAAAATAAAGAAAACGTTTCGTTTAATTCAGTTTCTTATTTCAATCACGGCATTCGAAATGATGTTACAATAAGCCTCATTAAAATATAAAGGAGTTCCTTCTTGAAAAAATAACTCCAAGGTTTTAAAGATTCTTTGCTCAGTCAGAGTCGCATGTTTTCCGTGATTTCGATCGAGTTGAGATTCTGAAAGACATAGGAATTGGCTACTTTGTCAATTTTAATTAAGTAAATATATTGATTACATAATTTCTAACCTTCAAGGCTAAAAGAAAAATGGTCAATGGAATCGGTCAATAACATACCTTATAAACGAAGGACGGCCATGAGAAGAGGAACTGCGGCGATGGACATGCTAAGTGCACTACTGTCATCTTCACCTTCAGCAGCATCATCACCTTCAGCAGCATCATCACCTTCAGCAGCGTCACCTTCAGCAGCGTCACCTTCAGCAGCGTCACCTTCAGCAGCGTCACCTTCAGCAGCGTCACCTTCAGCAGCGTCACCTTCAGCAGCGTCACCTTCAACAGCGTCACCTTCAACAGCGTCACCTTCAGCCTGAGAGCCTGAAATCAATTAGGTTCATGGTAATTATTTGTATTGCAGTTATCCAAATTGATTTATTCTGGTCTTCAGTAATAGCGTCTAATACCTCCTCTGTACAAAACATTCGCAATCAATATATCAATTAGAAAATGCCAGTAGAAGTATATTATTATCAACATATTGAATTATAGTTTAGTTAACTTACGGATCCCAACAACCATCAGGCCCATGAGGATAGCGAGGAGGAAGAATTTCATTTTGATTATCTTGATAATTGTATTAGTGTTAATTAAACAGTTATCACGCGTGGAATATTGAGCTCCAGGCAAAGTTAGAACTTGGAATTCCAGTAATTAAAAATATCACGATTGAGTATCAGATTTGGTTTATAAAATAAGCTAGGGAGCGACAATGCAACATTGAAAAAAAAAACCGACGCCATTAAATACGATATCGATTACGGAACTGATCATCAATCCGTGGAATGATCACGAGAAATCTTGAGTGGAATCAAAATGCTTGATCGACTGATCGGAGACTTATAATTTCTTGAGGAAAAGAATGGTCACCAAACCCGCAACTGAGGAACACACTGTTCTGTGACCGTTGGAGCAGCTTTAAATCACTACCGCTCTCTCACGCGGCTGCAGCAATATCGAAAGCGAACGATCAATCACATGCTATAATTACGGCACGTGACAGTGCCCGCTACATCAAGATGTGTCACGTGACACGGCACGTGACACGGCGCGTGCTGTGTCATTAGTGCAACCTTGCGGCACCTATAATGCTGTGTAGATCGGTTTCTCTTTGACTGTGTAGAGAGACAACTCCCTAATTACGTATAGTGAGGAGCTCATCGTGCAGTGTGCACATATTTCCAAGTCGTTGATATGTCTAGAACGCGAACAAATTAGCGTTGTGTGTTGAGGGGGGGGGGGGGGGGGGGGCAGCTACTCTGTACACAGTTAGTATTGTCCCGGGGAGGGGGGGGGGGGGGGGGTTTCATTTTGAATTTGCGGACGGTTATTCAAATTAGTATGGGTTTTGGTCAAATACGCTATACACTTTTAAATCTCCTGAATACAGCATAATAATTTTTTTAGCTGAAAATTGGTTTCTTTATTGATCAGGGGATCGGAATTGTTATAATCACGAATTTATAACGATGAGCAAAGAAAACGAGTGCTAAATAGTAAATATAGCCATGATTGCCCCTTAAACATGAGTTGATCTGCGAATGCATGATATCGTACCAATTTTTACAAGGGTGTTGTTTTTAAAACAACACCCTTGTCCGGATCACAAAGCTGCAGGCTTGCTCGGCTTGTCCGATAATAGACCACATTTTTGTCTTTTTATTATAGGGTCGATCTCACGCCGGCGTACGCCACCGGCGCCGGTGGGTTTCGGGCCCACGCCGCCGCCGACTGGTTTAGCCACGGCGGACGTCTGCAAATATGTACGTTTTTTAATCTTTGGATTGTCCCCTAGCTCGGCATGGCAGACAGGAAAAAGCTTTAAGGTCATTATAAAAATTTATCATCATATTATTCAGCATATAATATGCTTGTCCTCTCAGCGCTAATTGTTTGAACATTCATAACTCGATAATGATCAGCTGAGCTCAGTTGTAGCTCATAATGCAATGTAGAGTTTCACTTTCTTTTTCTCTTGGCAAAGCTCACAATGAGGAGGTTCTCTTTCTCTTTCTCTTGGCAAAGCTCACAATGAGGAGGTTCTCTTTCTCTTTCTCTTGGCAAAGCGAACTACTCATCTCTGTATGAGTAATGAACGGTATGTGATAATCCATCCTGATGTAGCAGGAGGCCCACACGTGAGTCCTTGCTGACTGGGTGAGTGGGGCTATGATATTTTCATATTTCAACAATTCCGCTGCATTTGAATTAGTCTGCGGTGCATTCCGATGATAAGTCTAATTGTTTGGATTGAGATCATTGTGCTGTTTGTGTGTTTCTCTTGCTCCGCAGGTGGAATGCGGAGGAGGACAAACATTCATAACTCGATAACGATCAGCTGAGCTCAGTTGTAGCTCATAATGTAGAGTTTCACTTTCTTTTTCTCTTGGCAAAGCTCACAATGATCAGGATCATCAGGTTCTCTTTCTCTTTCTCTTGGCAAAGCGACCTACTCATCTCTGTATGAGTAATGAACGGTATGCGATAATCCATCCTGATGTAGCAGGAGGCCCACACGTGAGTCCTTGCTGACTGGGGCTATGATATCTTCATATTTCAATAATTCCACTTCATATTTCAATAATTCCACTATAACGATTTAGTCTGCGGTACATTCCGATGATAAGTCTAATTGTTTGGATTGAGATCATTGTGCTGTTTGTGTGTTTCTGTAGCTCCGCAGGTGGAATGTGGAGAAGGACAAATATTTATTGTGTGTTATTTGTATTCAATTCAGAGGAGATTAGCCAATTTCAATCTAAACTCATAATGATAGACCCTCTGACAAGGGCAAAGCGTCATATATACGCTACAAACTCAATAAATATTTATTGAGTTAATTAATCCTATAATTGTTCCAACTTGCGTCCAATGAGTCAAATAACAAAAGAGTTCACAGTTCCAACGCAGATTCAGCGGAATTCCGCCGAATTAAGATGTTTCGGCCGGATACCAGTACCACCGAGTAATTATACTAAAAGTTAAAAATAGCATGTAGAATGTAGATACCTTATGAAACATGTTTAAATGGTACGAAAGTCGGTCGTTTTTCGAAAAAAAACCTCCGTCTACCAAATTGGATCATGATCAATTGCTTTAAACATGATTTTGGACCCCTACAATTATGACTAAAAATAAGCAAGCTCTGTCACTACTATAAATTATTCTTATATCGGCCACGGCGGTGAAATTTCGGGAGTATAGTGAGATAGTGGAAGATTACAGACACCGTCGGTTTCCTATACTTCTAATGATCCTTGGAGGATCATTAGAAGTTAAGTAATAAATTGAGGCTTATATAGGCTAACTTTCAGAGGTTCCGGAGAAATCGTAACCTTAATTGCACGCGGCTCTTTTGACTAAAATAAAGTTTATCTACAAGCTAGGTGGTCCTATAACATGAGCGGTATTTCTCACTGAAAGACTAGTTATTGTTATTACAATGATAATGAAGGAATGCTCAATGAAATGGTCTCTTCACTGTCACAATATTGCGGCTGCGACCTGGGCCAGATCGCTTTCTCTTTCTACATAGAATGGTTTCGTCTTTGTTATTTTACGTCGTAATTTAAAGTGGCATGTTAAAGTGATGTAATGTGTGAATTCTTATATAACTAACGGCACTGTTTTACGTCACTTAGCAACTGTTCCTATGAGGATCTTACACACAGCTCGCTTTCTCTTTCTACATGACAAAGAGAGAAAGAGAGAAGCAAATTGATCCTCCATAACAGCAAATTTCAAACAAATTAGTGTTTCCCTTTTACATCAAGAAGCTAAGTGCGCGATGAGCTTTTAGCTTGTCGAAGTGAAACCGTTACCCATTAAGAGGCGCTTCATCATTAGGGAGAAGAACTGTCTACTCTATTGTTTGTGGGACTAATTGGAGAGGGAGGGGGCCAGGGGGGCTTAATGTACGTGTTTTCTGGTACTTCAGTTCTGAAAGGCGGAAATGTGAGTTGATCTCCTAAGGCTAAATTATCCCTGATTTGAATATATAGAACACATTATGCGCGGGCTGTCGTGAATCTATTATATATATTGTTATATTATATATCTTATTAATAAGGGAGAAGGAACTGTCTACTCTTCTATTTGTGGGGAGTAACCAGTCTTTCACAATATAATTGTAATTAAATAATGGGCTGAGTGTTTTTTAGCAGCATAAATCGCTCCCACACGGTAACTAAAGGTTGTACATTGTATTTTATAGTGTTATCTTTATCAGATGCAAGTGTAACTTCATTTTCCAAATATTTCGGAATATTTTGTAACTTAAAGCTTTAAAGGTATTTACAAAATTACTGCAATCTACTGACCCAGCTTTTGTAACCGAATAAAGTGTTAATTGTCAATATACTGATTCAGAGTCTAACAAACGAAATACTATGTGGATGAGTCAAATCTCACAGAATAAGAATGAAAAGCACTAATTTCGTTTAGCAACCAAGTAATCAGCAACATTGTAGTCTATACAATTTGCTTCATACTTCCAGGACGAGTGGGTCGTATAAGCTGTCCTGATTGTTCTAGAGTAGAATAGTTTAAGGCTGTTATGATGATATCTAAATAATATCTAGATACCTTTTGTAGCTCTTTTACACTGCAAATATTTGTGAGTGCAGTCACAAATAGTTTCACTGTGTTTTGATCTTTGTTAGCTGCATCATCAAGGAAAATGCACATCAACACATCAACTACCACTAATATGGATGTTGTGCTAATAACCCAAGGCGATGGCTCCGAGTTTCTGTTCAGCTTCCCTGCCTCCCTGCCTCCCTGCCTCCCTGCCTCCCTGCCTCCCAGCCTCCCTGTGATAAAAGGCTCTTTTCCTTTATATTTTGTTCTGCAAGGTGACAAGGGAAAATACTTCAATTTGAATAAACCGTTAAGAATTGTAATTACAATATCTCAGAGTTCCTCAAATACCATGTCAATAATTCGAATAGCCTAGTAAACATTAACTGTAAACGTCTGCTGTATCCAAACCAAAAAGTGTCCTGCCATCCAACAGGCCCACTCTTAAATATCCTTAGATAGTATAAACAATCTCCCACTCGTTTAGCAATTCCTAAACAAATCCCAAACTATCCTCCTTGTAACCAAAACAGAGGTGTTAAAACTTAAAATGCACCCTCTGATAATCAAAACAGAGATGTTAAAATAAACTTTCTGTTTCCCTAAAACTCTCTGCTCTTAACAATATCTTTAACTATCCTCCTATAGCCAAAACAGAGTTGTTAAACTGAACTCTCTGCACTACCCTGCTGTACTAAATGTCGTACACTAATAAATGCCCTAAAATACTACGGTAAAATACAGTTTAATGTCTAGTACTAAAACTGCTAAAACGAGTGTATAACATATCCTCCCCACAAAATTTTGTGGAAGTTCTCCCGTTGCAATTGCAATGGATAACTTTACAAATTCTAATATATATCAAATCTACCTACAAAGTGTTTTTTTTAAAACCCACATAAAATTGAGAGAAAAAAATGTGTCTCTCTTGCTATTAAAACTGGCACCAAAGCTGCCCAAAATCATTGTCATCACCAAGTTGAAAATAACCATGTTCTAATGATGTCAAGATTAGTACTACTGTAAGTAAAGTGTTGTTATGATTCAAACTGAATGTAAAAAAGAGGTGATCAATCTCCCGAATACGGTAGGAATCAACACTCAGGATCCTAGTAATACAATATGACTGTTAAAACGGAAAGGGCAACAACAAGGTCTATCTTTACGATATACTGTTCAAATTCCGGATACCGTGATATTGTTGTGAATATTTAAACAAAATACCATTGTTTTTAATTGTAGTTAACTCATAAGAGCAAAACAAGATTACCACAAAATACCATTGTGCACAATAATTAATATATATATATATATATCACGTAAATAACCTTTCAGGCTATCTTACTTAAATAAAGTTATTCAGGAATCTCACCTGTACTAAACGTACTTCGGTTTATTCCTTCTCGGTCTGAGTTCGTACTTTCTCCTCGGATTTCTGCCGTCTTCCTCACGACCTATCTCAGCAAGAGTAAGTCCTCTACTATCTATTTCTCCGAAGTGCATATTTCCCTCTCTGCTTGGTCCAGCAGATGCAGCCGCTACTTCCGGACTAGAGACAATGTTTTGAGATTGACTTGAATCTAGTGCATCGTGAAAAGATTCGGTGGTGTCTGCACTTAGATTTAATTGTGGATCTTCTTCCTGACGCGGTACATCGTTGAGTGATGAGTTTACTATCGTGTCATCCAATCCTCGTTCCTCCTTTTCCACCACAATGGCCAGATCTCCGCTTCCAACTTCAGTCTGTGGTACATCATTTCCAGAACTGGTGAGATTCACTGGTGCTGACGCTTCTCCTCCACTTTTAGTGATCTTAGATGAGGGACAAGGAATTACTTGATCCCTCTTCTTCTTCCGACTCCTTGTGATGATGTGATAATCATCTGAATCATCTGAATCACTATCAGTGACTAGGATCACTTCACTCATGTTGCCTTCACTTTCCCCAGAACAACCGTTGGGAAATCCCACAGCCGCTCCAGGAACCTTGGTGAGTGGCTCTCCCCCTTTATAAGGTTTCATCTTCGTGATGCTGGTTACCTTCTTCTCCTGTCCCACCTGTCTCTCGTTCAGCTTTGATTTTCTCTCGTTCAGCTTTGATTTTCTCCAACTCCTCTTTTGCTTCAGCCGCTGCTGCAGCCTTTTCTTCCTTGTCACTGCCACTAGTCATCTATGCTCAATTCACTTCGAGGGTATTAACCGATTGATTAATCAGGCTCCAGTTGATAAAAGGCTCTTTTCCTTTATATTTTGTTCTGCAAGGTGACAAGGGAAAATACTTCAATTTGAATAAACCGTTAAGAATTGTAATTACAATATCTCAGAGTTCCTCAAATACCATGTCAATAATTCGAATAGCCTAGTAAACATTAACTGTAAACGTCTGCTGTATCCAAACCAAAAAGTGTCCTGCCATCCAACAGGCCCACTCTTAAATATCCTTAGATAGTATAAACAATCTCCCACTCGTTTAGCAATTCCTAAACAAATCCCAAACTATCCTCCTTGTAACCAAAACAGAGGTGTTAAAATGCACCCTCTGATAATCAAAACAGAGATGTTAAAATAAACTTTCTGTTTCCCTAAAACTCTCTGCTCTTAACAATATCTTTAACTATCCTCCTATAGCCAAAACAGAGTTGTTAAACTGAACTCTCTGCACTACCCTGCTGTACTAAATGTCGTACACTAATAAATGCCCTAAAATACTACGGTAAAATACAGTTTAATGTCTAGTACTAAAACTGCTAAAACGAGTGTATAACACCTGCCTCCCTGCCTCCCAGCCTCCCTGCCTCCCTGCCTCCCTGCCTCCCTGCCTCCCTGCCTCCCTGCCTCCCTGCCTCCCTGCCTCCCTGCCTCCCTGCCTCCCTGCCTCCCTGCCTCACTGCTTCCCTGCCTCCCTGCCCCCCTGCCTCCCTACCTCCCTGCCTCCCTGCCTCCCTGCCTCCCTGCCTCCCTGCCTTGGGGTTATAGTTCAGGTCAGGGTTAGAGTTGGGGTTAGAGTTCAGGTCAGGGTTAGAGTTGGAGTTATAGAGTTATAGTCCTGCCTCCCTGCCTCCCTGCCTCCCTGCCCCCTGCTTCCCTGCCTCCCTGCCTCCCTGCTTCCCTGCCTCCCTGCCTCCCTGCCTCCCTGCCTCCCTGCCTCCCTGCCCCCTGCTTCTCTGCCTCCCTGCCTCCCTGCCTCCCTGCCTCCCTGCCTCCCTGCCTCCCTGCCTCCCTGCCTCCCTGCCTCCCTGCCTCCCTGCCTCCCTGCCTCCCTGCCTCCCTGCCTCCCTGCCCCCTGCTTCCCTGCATCCCTGCCTCCCTGCCTCTCTGCCTCCCTGCCCCCTGCCTCCCTGCCTCCCTGCCTCCCTGCCTCCCTGCTTCCCTGCCTCCCTGCCTCCCAGCCTCCCAGCCTCCCTGCCTCCCTGCTTCCCTGCCTCCCTGCCTCCCTGCCTCCCTGCCTCCCTGCCTCCCTGCCTCCCTGCCTTCCTGCCTCCCAGCTTCCCTGCCTCCCTGCCTCCCTGCCTCCCTGCCTCCCTGCTTCCCTGCCTCCCTGCCTCCCTGCCTCCCTGCCTCCCTGCCTCCCTGCCTCCCTGCCTCCCTGCCTCCCTGCCTCCCTGCCTCCCTGCCTCCCTGCCTTGGGGTTATAGTTCAGGTCAGGGTTAGAGTTGGGGTTAGAGTTCAGGTCAGGGTTAGAGTTGGAGTTATAGAGTTATAGTCCTGCCTCCCTGCCTCCCTGCCTCCCTGCCTCCCTGCCCCCCTGCTTCCCTGCCTCCCCGCCTCCCTGCTTCCCTGCCTCCCTGCCTCCCTGCCCCTGATTCCTTGCCTCCTTGCCTCCCTGCCTCCCTGCCTCCCTGCCTCCCTGCCTCCCTGCCCCCTGCCTCCCTGCCTCCCTGCCTCCCTGCCTCCCTGCCTCCCTGCCTCCCTGCCTCCCTGCCTCCCTGCCTCCCTGCCTCCCTGCCTCCCTACCTCCCTGCCTCCCTGCCTCCCTGCCTCCCTGCCTTGGGGTTATAGTTCAGGTCAGGGTTAGAGTTGGGGTTAGAGTTTAGGTCAGGGTTAGAGTTGGAGTTATAGAGTTAGAGTTTAGGTCAGGGTTAGAGTTGGAGTTATAGAGTTATAGTTCAGGTCAGGGTTAGAGTTGGAGTTATATAGTTATAGTTCAGGTCAGGGTTAGAGTTGGAGTTATATAGTTATAGTTCAGGTCAGGGTTAGAGTTGGAGTTATAGAGTTATAGTTCAGGTCAGGGTTAGAGTTGGAGTTATAGAGTTATAGTTCAGGTCAGGGTTAGAGTTGGAGTTATAGAGTTATAGTTCAGGTCAGGGTTAGAGTTGGGGTTAGAGTTTAGGTCAGGGTTAGAGTTGGAGTTATAGAGTTATAGTTCGGGTCAGGGTTAGAGTTGGAGTTATAGAGTTATAGTTCAGGTCAGGGTTAGAGTTGGAGTTATAGAGTTATAGTTCAGGTCAGGGTTAGAGTTGGAGTTATAGAGTTATAGTTCAGGTCAGGGTTAGAGTTGGAGTTATAGAGTTATAGTTCAGGTCAGGGTTAGAGTTGGAGTTATAGAGTTATAGTTCAGGTCAGGGTTAGAGTTGGAGTTATAGAGTTATAGTTCAGGTCAGGGTTAGAGTTGGAGTTATAGAGTTATAGTTCAGGTCAGGGTTAGAGTTGGAGTTATAGAGTTATAGTTCAGGTCAGGGTTAGAGTTGGAGTTATAGAGTTATAGTTCAGGTCAGGGTTAGAGTTGGAGTTATAGAGTTATAGTTCAGGTCAGGGTTAGAGTTGGAGTTATAGAGTTATAGTTCAGGTCGGTGTAAACTTACGTTTATAAAGCTATTAGCCTCTGAGTTAAGAAAGTATAGGTGTTCAGCGGTTATAGTCGCTCTATTACACGAAGCATCATGGAATAGTGCAGGTTCTTTCTCTACAAGTACAACATATAATAATGCCTCGTTATTTAAGAGAAACAGAAAGAGAAACTCTAGTTAATAGTGAGGGTTCTTAGTACGTTATTCAAGTGATAGAGAAAGACAAACTTTAGTCAGAGATTGTTCTTACATTACGTCAGCCAGCCTTGGGGGTGGGGGAGGGGCCGGGGTGTATTGTATGAGCTGTTATTTCTATACACTTATACAGTAGCTATGTGCAAATTGGGTCTAAAAAGTGGTGTTCTAACATGGCCGAAATCTGGCTTACAGAGTAACTGATATCTTAACTATTCCAAAGAGAAAATGAAGTGTACCATTTGTCCACTTACTATCAATGATATTTCCGCACAACTAACTCTAACCCTAACCATTACCATATCACTACCGCACAATTAATCAAAACCCTAACCATAACCCATATCTTAACCATATAAACCCCAAACAATCGAATTTCCATTTTATTATCCAGGCCAATTATTCAAATGTTGTTCCCTTAATTCAAACCCCCGTGGCCCGCGTAGTAATACTTCAAATTATTTGAAGGATTAACTCATCACTAAATATTTCTCCTAAAACTCTTGGTCATTGTTTCTGTATTTAAAATAAAAAGGATGTAGGACTATAATGATCTCAATACATTTCTCATTCCCAGAATGTAAATCTTAATATTTGCAGTAGAATTATTGGAATGCTATAGCTCATTTGTCAGACCGGATAAACTCACGTGCAGACGCCTAATACCCTGTAAAATATGGGTCTGGCATAACGTGATTAAATAAACAGGCATGTACGCAAAGTGAAAGAGAAACTGATATCTTTAGCTAGCTGCAATACTGCAACTGCCCATCTCAATAGTCAATTGTAAGAGAAATGCGTTTTTTTTATGGCTGAGAAGGTTAACAAAGTTAGTTTTCAAGGATATATAATTGTGATCTGATCTAATAGGGTAAGCAGTCATTAAATTACGGCCAAGATCGAAGATCAAATATTCCACCTTTTGGTATTTCGCCCATAGCATATTAAGCAACATTTTTTGTAAGTATTAAATCTATTGTTAAGTTAGGGTTATAGCCACAACTTTATCCGTAACCCAAACTTCGACCTTAAGGCTTAACCATACCACGTCAAAGCTTTAAAATCATTATACACGTACAAATTTATCATCCTGTCCTCTCAGCGCTAATTGTTTGAACATTCATAACTCGATAATGATCAGCTGAGCTCAGTTGTAGCTCATAATGTAGAGTTTCACTTTCTTTTTCTCTTGGCAAGCTCACAATGAGGAGGTTCTCTTTCTCTTTCTCTTGGCAAAGCTCACAATGAGGAGGTTCTCTTTCTCTTCCTCTTGGCAAAGCGAACTACTCATCTCTGTATGAGTAATGAACAGTATGCGATAATCCATCCTGATGTAGCAGGAGGCCCACACGTGAGTCCTTGCTGACTGGGTGAGTGGGGCTATGATATTTTCATATTTCAACAATTCCACTACATTCGAATTAGTCTGCGGTGCATTCCGATGATAAGTCTAATTGTTTGGATTGCGATCATTGTGCTGTTTGTGTGTTTCTGTAGCTCCGCAGGTGGAATGCGGAGCAGGACAAATATTTAGTGAGTTAAACCGAATAGGAGGAAAGGAAGATAAATACACCAACACCAACACCAACACCAACACCAACACCAACACCAACACCAACACCAACACCAACACCAACACCAACACCAACACCAACACCAACACCAACACCAACACCAACACCAACACCAACACCAACACCAACACCAACACCAACACCAACACCAACACCAACACCAACACCAACACCAACACCAACACCAACACCAACACCAACACCAACACCAACACCAACACCAACACCAACACCAACACCAACACCAACACCAACACCAACACCAACACCAACACCAACACCAACACCAACACCAACACCAACACCAACACCAACACCAACACCAACACCAACACCAACACCAACACCAACACCAACACCAACACCAACACCAACACCAACACCAACACCAACACCAACACCAACACCAACACCAACACCAACACCAACACCAACACCAACACCAACACCAACACCAACACCAACACCAACACCAACACCAACACCAACACCAACACCAACACCAACACCAACACCAACACCAACACCAACACCAACACCAACACCAACACCAACACCAACACCAACACCAACACCAACACCAACACCAACACCAACACCAACTATAGTAGATTATTATAGGTCGATCTAACAATTATGATACAACATTGGTTAAATGGCACGGATCAAGCGGTTATAAGACAGTATTTCGTCAATTTTGTCACACTCAGAATATGGTACCTCTTTTTTACTGTGAGGTGAATGTGACGAAAATTGGCATGAGTTTCTATATAAATATTTCCTGTATAAATCAATTCAAACTATAATCAGAACAGCTCTTGATGTGAAAGAAATTAATGTATCTAACTTTTACAATAACTTATTTGACCAAAACCCATAATCATGGGTAGAGTGAACCGCTGCCAGTGTCTCTGATCTTTTCCAAACAAAAGGAAATGATATTAATTTAGAGAACCGTCCGCAAATGCAAATTGATACCGAGAATGAAATCGGTCGCTCGCTTTTCCCATTCAATAAGCTTTATTACAATTCGTGAGCCGTGAATGAATGGGAAAAGCGAGCGACCGATTTCATTCTCGGTATCAATTTGCATTTGCGGACGGTTCCTCAAATTAATATCATTTCCTTTTGTTTGGAAAAGATCAGAGACACTGGCAGCGGTTCACTCTACCCATGATTATGGGTTTTGGTCAAATATCATCTCTTTTTGATTATAATGTCAGGATAATTTACAAAGTCGAAACTTCATTAATAAGGAGGTAATTTCAACGATTTCGAAATTTTACCTTTGAAAACATTTCCTTGTGTTTAGGTAGGTATATCTGTCGATAACAGACTGAATATGGCACTTTTTACTCATTCAAGTTGGCATTTAATTCATATATATAATGGCATTTAAATATCGTGGGAAAGCAGAATATATTCGAAATCACGAATGATCAAAATTCTCACCTTTCGCACGTGCAAACTTTGAGCGGACGTTGCGTGCGCATACAATATTGAATCACCGTAAAATTTAGCATAGTGGTATTTAATATATAGTTTGATAAGCATGCAAAGTTTCAGAAGATTTCAAAAAGAACTTGGATCACAACGGGACTCCAAAGTTGATAAAAATCGTGAAAATAACAATTTTCAGTGATATAAGCTATTTTAAATCAATTTGGGCGTGTCCCCACGTGTGCAACTTTTCGATTTTCAACTTTAAAACTGGCCTATAACACAATTTAGACCTTTCAGAAGCAAAATTGAGCTCCACAACCCAACAGATGGCCCAACACCAGAGAATACTAATTCACAACTTTTGTGTTTTTATAAAATTATTCTTCAAAAAAGCACTAACTTCAATAGCGAGTATCTTTATGAAGGATTAAGGTAGGAAACTTTTCCGGTAGATTTTCAGAATGCTTGAACAATTATCTAAGGTGAAAGTGTCCTCAGATTTTGAATAAAATTACTTTTTAATGTTGTAAAATCGATTTGAAAAGTTGTTATTTTGTCAAAAATCAAGTTTTAAAACACTTAAATTGATGACGTCATCAAGTGATGATTATGACGATAAATTATTTTTCAATATAGTGTAAACTAAAGTATAAACAATTATCTTTAAAACCTGTGCTTCGAAATGACTGTATCTTTTATACTTTTGAATCTATGGACACTTAAATGTAGGCTATAATTGACTGCCAAAGCGTCTATACATATCATCTCACTGCCGCCTAGCTTGTTTCAGGTTTACTGGTCTGGTTCGATGGGTCTGACCCTGGCCCCCTCCGCTCACCCCTGTACTCCGCATCCATTATCATCATGAAAAAGACCGACAAGAAACTCGACAGGAGATCGGACCTCTTTAATTCCACGTCTCGAGGGTGCAAGTCAGCTGGATCCACTCCTATTTCGAGCCCAGCTTTAAGCCGAAAAGTCACTAGCAGAATACATAATAGGAACACAGAGCCAGATGCAGATCTAACATCTGATGGAGACTTTGTAGATGTAGAGAACAACGAACCAGCATCGATCCCAGGCACGCTACTCTCTAAGTGTCCCTGCTTTGTAGAGTCAAAGAACCCTGCAATCTTATGTGTTAATTGTAAGCAGACCTTCCATTCTAACTGTGTTAACCTTGCTGGCCTCACAGCAACTTCTCTAAAGAAGCTCAGCACTTCCTGGAAGTGCCCGGACTGCTTTATCTTTCCTTACACAAGAAGATTGAAGGAGGAGGAAAAATCCAAAGCCTTAACAGAATACTTTAGCAATATTTCTAAGATATCAAAGTGTAATGAGGAACTCAAAGAAAGTACAACAACCATAGAGTTCTTCAACGAGCATATCAAACACCTCATACTCAAGGAGGACAGTTTCAAAGAACACTCCAAAAGAACAGAAAGATTAGTAACTGGAATTGAAGATATCACTGAAGACATAGCCTCTATCAAGGGTGTACTTACGAAAGTAAAGGAGAGTGGCTCAGCTCTTGAGACAACCAGCAACTCTCTCAAACAGGAGATTGATGGCCTGAAGGATTCTCTCAAAAATATACCTATGACAGAGCAACCTCCGACTAACAGCAGTACTTTCGATCATGTTGACAAGCTGATGACCCAGATCAAAGTGCAATTGGAAAAGATCAATGATCATGTATGTCCCTCAACGTCCACACAGAACTTTGATGAAGATGAACTACCTTACAATGCCTCTATTCTTATGACCCCCAACACTACTTCTCCTCACTTTGCTGCATCTCAAATTCCTGAAGGCCCTGCATGTGACCCTTATCTAAATTATCAGGAAGATATAGTGCCTGTTGAGCTTCACAGCAAACTTATAAAGCTGCTGGAGGACAATAGTGCGGATTTTTCTTCGGTTGATGGCAGCAGGGATGTTGTCTACTTTGGTGAACATGGATACTGGTACACAGGAGCCTATCATCAGGCAAAGGAAACTCCACCGGAGATACAAGATCTTTTGGACTGTGTGCGTCCCTCTCTCCCCAATAGGAAGAGCTGGCTGAACTCTTGCCTTGTTACAAGATATACAGGCAACAGTAGCTATATCCCCCAACACTGCGACAATGAGGTTCTTATTGACCCAGAATCGATAATAGTCACTGTGTCCCTTGGTGAAGAACGCACAATAAAGTTCACACATAAGTCGACTGAAAAGTCCTTAAAGCTCAAAGATGGAAGTGTATACGTGATGTCCAGAATGTCCCAGGAAATCTGGAATCATGGTATTGAACCCCTCGCTAATGAAGAAGATGGCGAGGAATCTGAAGAGAAAACTTCTGTGAGGTACAGCTTTACCTTTAGGCATATTGCGCCTTTCTACAAAAATAGCACAGTGTTAATTGGAGACTCAAACACTAAGTACATTAAATTTGGTAAAGATGTTGGAACTCTAGGAAAATGGGTTCCCGGTAAGCGAAAGTGGGCTGCTAAAATCGACGATATTCCTGCTCCCAAAGACATAGACCCTTTTCGGAACATTGTTATACATACGGGAATCAATGATATTCGAGATGATTCCAACAGACCATCCACTAGAACACTTATTGCTAAGCTTAAGAAGAAATGTTGTGAAATTCAGCAATTTTATCCTAATAGTAAAGTTCATATTAGTTTACTCTTGCCCACCAAATCACAGTTTGTTAACTCACGTATAGGGGAGTTAAACAGTTTAATTGTCGACATGGTTTATAATAGGAAAAACATGTTTATTATAGATAACTCTGTACTAGGTTCTGTTAACGGATGTATCCCCTCTAAGTATGGTAGATTCTCACGTGATGGCACACCATTGGTCAATGATGTTGTTCATCTCGGGAGAGAAGGCCTGAAAATATATGGTATGAACATAAAACGGTGTATTGTACAACGTGGTGGAAGTCAGTCCACGGAAAGATTTAAAGGTGGAAATGGTGACTATAGTAGTGCCCTAAGTAGGGGTAGTCCGTAGTAGGGGTGATATCTTACCGATATGACCTCAATAAACTTCAATATTACAAGAGAGAGATGTCCAGGTTGTGATAGCAATGTACTAAGCCATCATAAAATCATAATATGTGAGAGTTGCGATACAATATATCATGCCAAATGTTCTGAACAGAGTTTTAAATTTGATCATGTTAAACAAATGTGGCACTGCAGTCAGTGTTACGCCTTCAAATCCCAAAGGTACAATCCTTTTAACTCAATTATTTATGACAAATATGATCCCAACACTGTAGAAAGAGACGAGGATATGGAGACTATTTCAAACATTCTAAAAGACTGTAGGTATTACAACATGACAAATTTCAACCGGCTGTCAAAAAACATACTTAACCATAACAAGCCGTTTATATCTATTGTGTTTAACAACATTGATGGGAACGCATCTAACTTTGACAGCTTTATTACTGATATGTGTCAATATGATGAGAAATTTGCAGTTATTGCGCTAGTTGAAACAAACATTGATGAGGAAAATAAGGATCCATACAAAATTGATGGTTACAGCAGTGAGTACAACTCCAAAACTGATGGGAAAAAGAAAGGTAGTGGCCTTGGTATATATATTGACAATCAGTACCAATACAGCCGAATCGAAAAGTTATGTAAATGCTCTGACAATCTTGAAACACTTTTCGTTGAGATCACTAACACAGAGGTTCCACAGATTGCTGGTGTTGTTTACAGGCCCCCTAGTGGTGATATTCAAGATGCACTTGCTGAGCTTGATGTGTTGATGAAATTTCTACCGTCTAATAATGTAGCCTTGACAGGTGACTTCAATGTTGATCTTTTGGCCCAGGGACGAAACATAGCTGAATTTGAACAAACTATCTACAGTAACAATTTAATCCCTTTGATATCGATTGCCACCCATGCCAAGCCGGGTTGCAATGAAAGCTTAATTGATAATATTTTAGTGAACTCTACTGAGCGTGTCTTAGGATCTGGAATTCTTGAATCCAAGATTTCCCATCATAACCCAATCTTCTGTTTCATATCGTGTAATATTAAAGAGAGTTCAAATACTGCCAAACTTAAACCTAAGTATGATTACTGTGAGTCTAATATAGAAAGTTTCCTCAATAATATTGGAAAGGATATCTACCAATCGAACTTTTCGTATGATGAGGAAGGTTTTGAAAAATTTGTCGAAACTGTCGAAAAAAATCGAACTGAATTTCAAAGTGGACTGTACTGCTGGTTTTCAATCAAAACGCAATAGATTGATGAATCCATGGATCACTTCTGCGTTAATTAAATCTGTGTTTACTAAAGGCTTTCACTACAAGCGATGGAAGGCTTCGTGTACCAAAATCAACCCATTAGGTGAGGAAACTTTATATCTTAAGTATAAGGAGTATCGTTCTATCTTAAACAAAGCTATAAAATCTGCGAAAAAAGCCCACTATGGGAAAAAATTTGAACTTGCTAAAGGAAATATTTAAAAAACCTGGGAATTGATCAACGAACTCAGGGGTAAATCTAAAAAAGATATAATTAAAGGATGTTAGGTAAAAAGAAGTCGAACTCTCAAAAATGGAATGGGAAGCACTCGGGTATGGGGGGTTGTGAGGCCCCAACTAGTAAAAAAAACACTTGTCCCTGCATCAAGGGTGGAATAATTTAAGGACCATTATCAAAAGTTTTCTTTTCAAATAAAAGTGGCATACCAAAAGGATCACAGTCCTAATGGTACGTCCAACATAGCAGAAAGGAGATGGACATAATTTACAAATGAATATATAGACTATGTTGTGGCTAGAACAGCTGTCCCTGGAGCTTGTCTTATCTTGACTCCATTAATACAATAAGACTTCTCACTTCCTATCATGGAACAACACTTACAGTTTCTCTGGTGGCATGGTTCTGTTTTGTTAAAGTGTTATTCTCTGCGTGCAATTGTGGGTTGAGGAGTCTTCTCCGCAAAGATGCGCATGATCGTTTAACATAACTGAATAGTCTTTTGCCGGTGTTTCTTTCGTTGTTGGAGGTCTCCGTTGTACTTGTCGTGTCGGTGTTAGAGGTAGACGACAAACTCGGGGAGGTCTCTATGGTGGACTCAAACTTTTCAATTATGTCTATCAGTGCCGCGTCACTTCCGAAGGTGGAGATTACATGTATTGTGTTCTCAGGGGACACAGGGAGCAATATAGAACTGTTCGAGGTGTCCCTGCAGGTGGGGAGCCTGCGTTCGAATGTTTTCACCTTCGAAGAGATGTTGTTGATCATCTTTTTCGGGTAGTTTGAGTTCGAAAAACACTCTTTCAGCTCGTCGATTCTTAGGGCTAACCTATCATTGTCATTGATGATACGGCGGAGACGGAGACATTGGGAATAGATGATGCTGCTATAGACATGGTTAGGGTGGGTGGATCCAAAGTAAAGATAAGACCTAGAATGAGTTTCCTTTACATACAGGTCGGTCTGGAGGTTACCATCGACGTAAAATGCAAATTGTATGTCGAGGAAACAAGTAAAAACGCTCTACTCTCCTTTTTATCGATACTAAATTTAGTGCTTTCAGCCGCCGCCAATGGCAATGCCACTAGTCAAACTCAAAGTCGAAAGAAAAAAATTTTAAAAGCGCAATCGTCTGCGTCTCATTGACATTATGACTTTCTTTATATTGACATTGTTTAATCGCTTGAATCCTATTTTTCAGAATGAAACTTAATTTAAAAGCTTCGCAATACTATTTTTATTTGATTACAGTAGTGAAAGGTTTTTAGGGCAAATTTTGTCCTCCCTCATTAAAATTTGCATATGAAATTATTTGTTATTTTAGCCTTAGGGGGGAGGGGGTTTATGTCCGCCAATGTCCGTTTCCTTTTTGAACTCTATGAGATAACGGACGTGTTCTTGGGACATCAGCGGACATTGACGGACATTTGACGCTAACAGAAAAATGTTTAAGTCAAAAGATTTTCAAAGTTATCCTGGAAATCTTTATTTTTCCTGCTACCCTGATAATTATTTTTAGCGAGTGATTGAGTGCGACCGTATTCTTCTTATCGGCGATTGATTTATTTGTGGTATGCGTTTCCGCACAAGGTCTTGGGTCTGTGATTTGTCAACTACAAATACAATTATCTTGCAGATTTGCAAATTATCACAATTCCTGACAATTTAGCTTTGGATTCTAAACTCTGACTGGAGTATCTGTATAGCTTTGTGAGTCTCTGCAGTGAACAAATTCCTGAACAATTGAATTTCATGATACAATTAACTTCCGGTTACCTGATTAAGATCACGCTCATTCCAGACTCCAGTCACGCTCATTCCAGTCACACAAATACAATTATCTTGCAGATTTGCAAATTATCACAATTCCTGACAATTTAGCTTTGGATTCTAAACTCTGACTGGAGTATAGCTTTGTGAGTCTCAGTGAACAAATTCCTGAACAATTGAATTTCATGATACAATTAACTTCCGGTTACCTGATTAAGATCACGCTCATTCCAGAAATCCTCCATAAATTGCAAAATGTTTATTTAAGGGCTGTCCCACACCAATTGTACATGAGTCTTAAATTTCTTGTTTCACTGTATGAATCATACAGTCGGCTAAGCCAGTTTCTCATTCGATCCCAATGCCAGCTCTCGATTCCTGAAAATCATTTCGGACTTGTGTCTTAAGCATGGACTTCAATTACTTCATCATATTTTATAACTAGTGTAACCCGGCCGGGATTTCACTGCCGCAGTTAAAAAGGTAGGAGTAATTACCCGTTGAGTCAAAACCCGCATTATAAGGTGAGCAATTCTATTCGGAGTTCCCTCACGTATCCAATAGTAATAGTATCTGTATTCTGTACCACGACTTTTACACCTGATCACTCTCGTCTTAAACCGCTTTAAATCGTTTTAGAAATTAACCCTTATTAACTCCGCACCACACCCGCCTTATATTTGAAAACATGCATTACATTGTCGTATGAAAGTAAACAAACAGACCGTAATGAGTGGCTCCCCCCTCCCCTAATAAGCGTATAGTATTAGTATTACACGCATAAACATTGTCGTATGAATGTATGAACTCTCTCTACAGTTTAAACAGACTGCAATCAGTGCCCTACACTTCTAATATCACTTGCGGAGCTAACCTAATTACCAACGCTACAATCTACATAATATGCAGTAATGGAAGAGAAAGCGAATAGGAAGAAAAAGTGAGCCATTTTAGTGGCTCACTCCATAATGTTGCATTAATAGTACAAAACCATCAATTAAGCCACTTACCACCGGCCGAATTTAAAAAAATTTGCATATGGGCTTTGTCAGAGTTTTGTCGATACTATACCGAAAAAACCTGTCCTGTAACTCTTACCGTTTTTTCAATATAACCGACCGGAAATTACACAAACACACACACACACACACATCTTGGCTTTATTAGTATTGATGCTATTTTTATTTTATTACAGTAGTTAAAGGTTTTTAGGGAAAATTTTTTCCTCCCTCATCTATAATCGTATATACTGCTATAATACACAAGGATATATTCTTGTGAACTCGGCTAGTATATATGAAACATTTGTCATGGAGTTGTAGAGGGAGTTATGTGCCTCGCCGGGCTAAAGTAGTGGATGACCTTGCTGTACGGCAAGTTAAACAAGGATCTGAAACTACTAGGTTCCGTACAGACTCAACTCTGCACCCGTGTCAATATGTTCATTATATGCAAGCCTCTTGATTTATAATACATGTGAATCATTGTATTATTATCATGAGGCACGTTTTGCCGTTCTCGTTACGTGAATGATCAATAATAATTAATTAATGTGTTTTAAAAGAAATTTTCTAAATATTTTTCAATGCAATGTAGGAATAATCTAAACAGTAAGTGTAACGACTATCGACAGTGCTGCACATCTATTTCTATTAAAGATGAAGGTGAGTGATTGACTGATGTGCTCCATAAAGTACCATTTTCATTTAGCAGGGGTTGTCAACACGTCATGTGCAGTGATTAGTTGTAGTAATTTCTCAATAAAATCAGAAAAGCTACGTCCTCCTACCAACTAAAACTATTCGGCGCAATTATGGCCATTTCTTATTAATTTGAACAAAGTTTAAGATTTTAACTTATATTATTGACATTCGTAAAACCACTTTGTTAATATATTTTAATTTGTTTTTCTTTCAGATCTTGATCTTGGTTCTGTTCGTGTTCGGTGGTACTCTAGCGGAACGGTATTGCTTTCCTGCAACTGATACTACGTTTTTACAGGAATCATTTCAGTACCATTTTACGAAGGATGCTAGCAGCTTGTATGATATTATGAAGGAAGTGGCTGCTCTTCCGGATAGCTCAGGTAAGTATATTTGATCACAAATCTTTCTTTTTGTTAACAGGGGATAATATTATACTCCAATTGATGAGTTGATATCGTCAATCAATGACACGGCGCACAATTTTAAATCTGTTTGTTTCCAGTTCAGTCTAATACCCCGAATATTCCATTTGAAGATACAATTTATGCTTTTGTTTCAGTTATGACGGATGACTCATCTGCAGCTTTCGGCAACAAATTCCAAATCGCATATGACTTGTCTGTTGCGGCGCTGACACTCAAGATTGGAGAAGGACGTAAGACGGGCAAGACTAGCCACGAAGTATCCACTTTTAGTACTGATAATGGATATGATGTTAAAACTGTACGCATGGTAGCTATGTTCACGGATTCGCATGAGTATCAGATGAACATAATCTTTTTTGATCCGGAAATCCTGGCGGAAGACACCACCACGATGTCTTATACGTATCCAGTAGACGGAGACAACGCTAAGGGCACGATGAACGATTGGTACGTGACGTATGCCTTCGACGAGGACGGTCAGTTGGAAGTTTATCTGAGCGACAGGAAAGATGGTCTCCTGGCAGAAGATAGCAAACTAAAGACGACTGACAAATTTCCCAGTCACGTATGGACGTTCTTGAAGACGCAATCAGAGGATATATATGCTGATGGATTGTTCCTGGAGTTGTCTATGGGCCCGGATCATCCAGATGGTGTAATCACATTTCAATACCGTAAGTTAATCTGAAAAATGATCAAAGTACATCCAACAAAACATTTTCATATCATAAAACAGTAAACCCCAATTAACCGTACCTCTTCCCTTTCCTCCAAATCCGCTTTATCAATGCAATGGGACCCTGATGTCAAGCACAATTGTCAAGCACTTTACTTCCCCTGAGTGAACAACCTCATCGATTGATTTGATGTTTTTCTCGAATGAATGATTATAGCTAGTCGTATCAGTAACTGAGTAATAAGCCCAAACGTTTTCACAGTTCACACCTATAATATTATATTGATATATGATTCTGGGGCAAAATTTGCAGTTTTTCCGTTTGTTGCGACAGAGAAAAGGCTCTCATCAGGATAAGGAAATGTTCTAAGCTTCAATGTAACAACATCGTATTCATGATCTCAAATTATTTGTTATATAGTAATGTTGAAAGTATTGAAACTGATAGCAAAACAACTTCCCAGCCATCCCCGGAGACTCTATTACAGACAGTGACATCGAAATTGTCGCGATGGGAGCAGCTGGATTCGGTTATATCCTGCAACGGGCAAGCTACCCCGGTAGCTCTGCGGAGCTGATAAATGGGTTTTCATTCCCGGAATGCGTAAACACAGACAACTGTGAGTAAATCCAAAGTTTAAACCGTTACCATGGTGACTATGCGTTTCCATGGTGACTATGCGCTCGTTCATAGTATTATTAATTTAGTTACGAGCAGTTGCTATACATACTAAGTCGGGGTATTCTGACTCTAGCGAAATAATATTATGATTATTATTTAGTTGCTTTTATACAATAACTTCCTTCATTTCAGACATGTATATTGTTCGTGATTTAGTTGCTTTTATAAAATAACCTCCTTCATTTCAGACATGTATATTGTTCGTGATTTAGTTGCTTTTATAAAATAACCTCCTATATTTCAGACATGTATATTGTTCGTGATTTAGTTGCTTTTATAAAATAACCTCCTTCATTTCAGACAAGTATACGGATCTCGTGCAGAGTGAAAATCCCTCCTGTCCTCAACCCAACACCGTCAGAGAGGTTAAAAGTAAAATGCCTTACGGTAAATATCATATTAAAGAGACGTGTCAAAGCGATGGATATAGCTGTTGGGATGATACTCATGATACCTGTAATGCAAAACAAAATTTTGGTAAGAAACGATATAACTTGTTAATACAAAGGTAAATATGTGTTATGGGACTATTATCGCGATTAGCAAATTTATCCCTTAATTGTCAAATTTGTTAACCAATGGTTGCGGAATATATGGGTGATTGCACGGACCTTATGGGACTTTATTTGGACAGACATTAAAAGTTAGTGAAGGACTTTTTTATGTTTAAACGAGTATTATACGGCTGCTTTTATATTGTCTTCGAATCAGTTGGCTGTTCATTAACAAAGCTTGAAGCAAAAAGTTGCCAAATAAACAAATTGTAAGCCAAGAATAAAAATATATCCATCCAGAATTATGTCTGTCCAAATAAGGTACGATAAGTTCAGAGTTAGTCGTAATTGCTACTCAGATTTAGATAGCTCTTTTAACTGTGACGTTCAGTTTGTAGTGTGTCGGAAGCTGATGCGACTGTAATGACTACCAATGAGCACATAGATGTGCACGTGGACAACGTTGGACCGTTTGTCGGAATGGAACTGTCGGAGGGGGATCGTGACAAAGTTATCTTCTTGGGGGAAAGACTTGACTTTATCTGTAAAGACAAAAATGATGGAGCCGAGTAAGTGGTCTACATCATGTCTATGGTCATATGTAAAGAGGGAGCTGGGGGGAGAGGGCAGGGGTAGGGGGCTGGGGGCAGTAATTTTTTTTCCTTTGAATATCGTGGAGTCCTCTTCAAACTACAGAAAATTGTGTGTTAGCGAGAAAGTAAGTCTGTAAGTTTCAGGATTATATTAAGTTTCAGGATTATATTATGATTCAATTGATAAAGTTGGAATCCCAGGTATGTGTTCGAGTACGACCCGGAAAACTTCAATGATGAATCTCAGTTTGGATACGACACCATCAGTTTCAGCTGCGTCAACGATTACGCTAAATTATACACCGACTTCAAGGCTATCTTTGATGCCTTGAAATGTGTCCGTAAGTTACTGTTAAAGCTAATTATATGATAGTGATAGTACTGCTCGGCTCTTTAGTCTCTAGCCTGGGAGAGAAGTAATGTAATTGCCCCGTCCTCTTAGACTCTAAGATTCTTAAAATATAAATACGTGTTTCCAACGATTACAAATGATTGTTAGTTCCGCAATTATTGAACATATTTTAAATTACAGCTAAGCCAGAAGATAAGCCAGAAGATGAGCCAGAAGATGAGCCAGAAGATAAGCCAGAAGATGAGCCAGAAGACGATGGTAATGATGGTCACGATGACGACTGTGCAAAAACATTCAGTTGTGAATATTCGCAAGCTGCTACCCTTACTAGCAGCTCAGCCATCACAATTGTTCTCCTGGTAGTAGCATTCTTTTAGAATTTTCTATCAAGTGATCTTTTCGATGATCGCAGATTGAATAGATATTACAAAAGGACACGAACTTGACTTAATTAGATTTTGAGCATATAAACTGTATTATACACTTTTCAAAGAAAAAGGGGAACAATAAATGTATTGCTTCGGCATTCAGACATTAATAAATTTGCATGATATTAGTAAGTTAGTATAGTTTAGAGCAATATTTTAAATATTTGGCCACATGGCTAAAAGTAAACTTGGGTTTTTGTTTTTGAGCTCTTGTATTTTTTTTATCAATAAAATTTCAAATTGTTACACAAATACATCATTTTATTTCAAAGAAAATATCACCGAATGACCTTACATGCCTTGACAAGTGACCGAGTGTAAACAAAATTAGGGACACCGAAACACCAGTTGACCAGTAAACTGGTCATAGCAATTACATCGGGCCTTATATGCACCTATAAGTGAAGCGATGCTGCAACCAAGGCATGCTAGGTTTATTCCATTGAATCTAAGTAAACTATAGGTAAAAATATAATATTAATCATAAGCTAAAATGTACTATTCTTTGTATTCTAAATGGGGAAAAAGAAGAAACATTGTCAGTCAGTCGAGAAAATTGTCAGTCAGGCTATATGGCAGCTTTGTAGATGTTGTGACTATGCTAGTAGTGGTCCCAGGCTTGCGACTGGAATTGCGGTGTTAAATCGATTTAATGGTACCAACGATCCACCTCCCACTTGTTGTTTGGTACTTAGCATTAATAGTGTTAGCTGTAGCCATTTATAGCAAGAATCTTAAAACTAAAGGGGATGACAAGGAAAAGAGGAAGGAAAAAGAATAACGGGACAAACAATTAATTAAAGTATTTATAGGAGCATTAGATATTGTAATTACAAGCTTCAATAATAAATCACTGACTAAAACTTCTAATTAAAATGACACTTGGTACGCTCGCCCATTTTCACTGGTCAGTCTGAACTTCGGTTTAGCACGTTGTACACTTATTCACCTAAGTTTCAGAATTTGTTCAGTTTAGCAGAGTTAGTACCCGTGTTTCAATAAATCAAAAGATATCAGGGGAGTTCTTTAATAATGTTATGGTCATCTAGAATACCGAACTTCCTGAAAACGTTATCATATTTCCTCAGACAACGTTTAATGCCTTTAATCAGTCTATCACGGCTATATCCTCTATCAATTAGAATTTTGAATATTTTGTGAAGATGGGAGGTAAAGATATCCAATCTAGTGCAAACATTACCATATCTAAGAACTTGACTTGAAAAAACGTTGTAGCCAACCTCGGTTGGGATGTTACTGTGAGGAAATGTAAGGGATACAACATGAAAATTAAAATCATCAGTTTTGTTATACACTGATATTTCTAGTCCTTCTGTGGAAATATTAATATTTAAATCAAGGTAGTTAATGATTTTATTATTGGAACCAGCTCGCTCCATCTCCAATGAATTAGGATAAATATCTTTAATCAATTTATGAAAGTAAAGGTAGTTAATAATAGATAAATCGTCAACATATCGTTTATTATTGGATAATATCTTTGCTAATCCCATTTTCTTTTCCTGAAGTAAACGTTTCATATAATTAAATTCCTTTTTGCCAACAGTGAGATCAGCTATAGGGGAACTTGAATTTCCACCCATAGGAATACCCTTGGTTTGTATGAATACAATCCCACCGAAGACGACATAAGTGTTATAAATAATAAATTTAACAGCCTCTTTTAGGTCATCTTGACTAAAGCAGGCATGACAATCATAGGTTTTATTGGAAAAGAAACATGTATTACTGTCTCTTTTAGAAATACAAATATATCTATTACGGTCTGAAAATATTAAATCAACAACTTCATTAATCATATTCTCTACTTCAATCAAGTCTAATCTGGTATAAAGAGTAGTAAAATCATATACTTGTATATTATAAACATCGCTATTTTTGATAGCTTCAAGGAATTCACTTGAGGAATCTATGCTCCAAAACATGTTTATACCGCTGTTGTTGTAGATTGCCTCGCAGTATTTCTTGAAGTATTTCCTCAAAAGTTTCAGACAACAGTTAACTTGGACGTTAAGTTGTTTCGTAACGCAAAAACGGGCACCTGCAATGAACCTCGCCTTGTAAGGGTTCTTATGAAGCTTAGGGTTCCAGAAGATGCGTGCTAGTCGCAAGTTTTTATCTTCAACTTGTACATTAAATCTCTCCTTTAGACTCTCAGATAATAAGGTTACAGCCTAAAATATAGATATGATAAATAACAATGTACCATAAATCATAATTATAAACACACTTTATTGAACATATTTTTTAAATCATACTTTTTATTAATTTATATTTAGATAATATAGTTACATGAAAGATAACGAAAACTTTCAATTATCAAAATATATAATATCGTGATCTATAACAAGAGATTATAATTACTGATTAAGGATTTGCAGCATTTGTACGGGGTTGTAAAGTACAAAAGATATAATTCGTGAGATTAATGCCAGGAATGCGCACAGATCTTTAATCAGTAAAATGACAGTGAAATTGTACTGAGGTGTTTAGTATTGTAAAACTGCTCGAGGTTATTCATAATTCGTCTTGATAGTAAAGTATTGTTTCGTTATTGTTATCAAAGTTTGTGTGTCTGATCATCGTGAAAGTTTAGGTAAATTGTTTAACTGTCAGAAGATGTTATATGGTCGTTTAGAACTGTCCAAGGTGAATTCATAAGGGAGTTTATTCCAAAGAATGTGTGCTCTGTAAAAATAAGACTTAGATATGCCTGAACATCTGGTCTGGCTTGACGTAAGGTTTTGTGGAACTTGAGGAGAAATGTCATTAATCATACTAGGATCGTCTAGATGTGATCGCATTAACCTACTTCCCATGAAACGTCGTAAGTTCCTTACACGCTATGAAATACCTTTTTTTGTCCCTAAGGCTCAAGTAAATATCATTAAGGATCCACTTGAGACCTCTTTTTTTGTATCGATTCAAGTTTTTCCACCGAGGTTTCTGAATGAGGCCGCCAGACAATTGTACAATGTTCGAAATGACTTCTAACCTGAGATAGATAGAAGGCCCGACGTTTTTTAGTGTTCTTGGTGAAGTAACATGTTCTTTTTAGAAGGCCTAACCTCTGACTAGCCTTAGAGTATATCATATCACAGTGATGTGACCAATCTAACTTACTATTGATATGTACTCCAAAATCTTTTTCAATGTCTGTGTATTCGATAGCCGTTTCATTCATAGAGTACACAAAATTAACAGTAACACTACGATTCATAGAATATGCTCGGGTAATAGAAAGAACGTGACTTTTTGAGGGGTGAAACACCATCTTATTATGATGAGCCCAATTTTGAAGACTGTTAATATTCTGCTGGAGCAGCCAATGGTCATCCTGAGACGTGATTCTATATACGCCATATTTTTGTATCATCAGCATACATGGTTATATTTGTTTCCGGTGACAAATCCTCTGTAATGTCATTAAGAAAAAATATAAATAAAGTAGGCCCTAAAATTGAGCCCTGGGGGACACCTGATCTAACCTGACAGGGAGCATGACAACCCTTTGGTTTCTGTTTTCAAGGTAGCACTTGAAGAATCTCAGTAGAGATGCATCAATGTTATATTGTTCTTTGAGCTTCAACAGAATTATGTCGTGGTTGACAGAATCAAAAGCTTTTTGGAAATCAAAGTATATTATGTCAGTGCGAACATTGTCATTGAGAGATACTGATAGGGCTAAGCTGTCACAGAAATTAACTAGCTGAGTTGTAGTTGTACAGGATTTCTACTCATAAAACCATGTTGACGTTGATCGATAAGATGTTCACATCGATTGAGCAATTCATCCCGGATTACTTTTTCGTAAATTTTCATAATAATGCTTGTCAGAGAAATTGGCCTATAGTTGTTAATCTGCTGGAATACATTCAGTTTTATAAGAGGCTTCAAAAAGGATGGCAAGAGGCTTAGACAGGCTCACTGAACTGTACTTTAAAATTCTTCCATGGATATTGTCGGCCTCTTGCGCTTTACTTGGATCAATATTTTCGAGTAAACCTTTGATTTTACAAGTGTCGAAATTGACCTGAAAATCACGGTCACTGGAAAAGTCGATATTTATATCATAATCACTACCCTCTATAAACTGTTCGTTAAAATATTTATTGAATAACTCACACTGTCCCTGCGGATCGGACCGTAGAGAGAGAGAGAGAGAGAGAGAGAGAGAGAGAGAGAGAGAGAGAGAGAGAGAGAGAGAGAGAGAGAGAGAGAGAGAGAGAGAGAGAGAGAGAGAGAGAGAGAGAGAGAGAGAGAGAGAGAGAGAGAGAGAGAGAGAGAGAGAGAGAGAGAGAGAGAGAGAGAGAGAGAGAGAGAGAGAGAGAGAGAGAGAGAGAGAGAGAGAGAGAGAGAGAGAGAGAGAGAGAGAGAGAGAGAGAGAGAGAGAGAGAGAGAGAGAGAGAGAGAGAGAGAGAGAGAGAGAGAGAGAGAGAGAGAGAGAGAGAGAGAGAGAGAGAGAGAGAGAGAGAGAGAGAGAGAGAGAGAGAGAGAGAGAGAGAGAGAGAGAGAGAGAGAGAGAGAGAGAGAGAGAGAGAGAGAGAGAGAGAGAGAGAGAGAGAGAGAGAGAGAGAGAGAGAGAGAGAGAGAGAGAGAGAGAGAGAGAGAGAGAGAGAGAGAGAGAGAGAGAGAGAGAGAGAGAGAGAGAGAGAGAGAGAGAGAGAGAGAGAGAGCCGTAACTCTTACCTAATTAATCTGCTCAAGCAATTTTATGTAACACTAACATTTATGGTAAAAAACCATCAATTAAACCAATTACCACCGGCTGATTTTTTTAAAATTTGCTCATTGGCTTCGTCAGAGTTTTGTCAACCTTAAGAAAACAAATTATATGATCTTCTCTCGACAAAGAAATCTTAATTATCGTGATGTGGCAATTTCTGGTGTCACAATTGAGAGAAAAACAGAAGCCCGTTTTTTAGGAGTTATAATAGATGATAAACTAAACTGGTCCTATCATATTCATATCTCTGCCATGAAAATGAAAATGTTCAGATACATAGCGGAGTCATGTACAAACTTAAAAAATATCTGCCTCTCGAAGGACGAAGCACGTCTTCAAATTTATCAAAGTTTTGTGCAGTCACACCTTAATTATTGCAGCCTTGTATGGGGTTTTGCTGCCAAGTCTCATATTGAATCACTTTTTGTAAAACAGAAAATGGGCCTTCGAGCAGTATTACCTGGTTTCGTCAATTACTGGTACAAGGACGGTATCCCCCCAGCAAGTACCAAGTCTGGCTTTTATTCACATAAAATATTGACAGTACACAGTATCATTGTAAAGAACGCACTCATTTTAATCCATAAATTGAAAAACTTTCCTAAACTAGTACCATTGTCTCTCAAGAAAACAATTCCCCAAAGCGCACCATTATTTAATACTAACCCGGATTCTATTCTCACTACACAACGGTCAGAAAAGTATGGTCAATACCCTTACAACAACTCAGTATTTTTTAAAGGTCCATTATTAGCAATAAACCGATATAATGTTAATGCAGCAACTTCCCCGCCTATAGTCTATTTAACCTGAACATTTACAAAACTTGTATAAAAACTATGCTCATCGATCAGCAAAATGAAAACATCGAAGACGAATGGCCTAATTTCATGTTATTTTGTATAACAGGACTAAGAAAATCAAAGCGTAACATAAACCAAAATGCCGATAATAACCTTGTCTCTACATTTTAGATTATATGCACACACTTATGCATCACTCAATAAACGTCGCATATCTCATCAATTACACTGCCAAAATTGGACATTCTTTATTATCGCAGCGTATTTCAAACATCAAATCAAGTTACAAATTCTACAAATTCTAATTTTGAAGTGCTCAGTCTTGTTTTACTTTTTATTTTTACATATTAACCATTGGAAAATAAAACTTTAAGTTATAAACCTTCGTTGGACATTGCATACTTTACCGTTAGAGTCTAAATTGAATAGTTTGAGATTTCCTTTACATTTATATTTATGCATGTGCCCCACGGGGATGAGTTTCTTATTACCATTGATATTATATATATTTTTGAGTAAACATTGGCTGGTACCACGGGCCAGTCCCCGGCCCCAACAAACAAACAAAAAGTAACAGTTGGCAGCAATTTACTGAGCCGCGCTCAGCCTGTCATAGTGTCATTCCGCCTAATCTCTATGTTTATGAACATCTAATGAGAGGCTGAGAGTTCAGGAATGCTGCAGAAGAAGAGAGCACACGAAAGGGGGGGGGGGGGGGGGGGGGTGTAGGAAGTTCAGAAAGGGGGGGGGGGGGGGGGGGATATTGTCAAATTTTTGATATAAAGCTTATTTTGATGGGGAAAAGTATGAAATTTTAAAAGTCGATTTTGAGGGTGAAGATCAAAGATTGCGTTTTTACTACCCTATCCAGAGATCCCTTTTGTGTTGACAAAATTCTCTAGTTTCTTTTGGTATTTTAAAATTGAAATTTGACTTATTTGGTCATAGTGGTGATTTATGCTTTGTCGAAGTGGAAGCTTTTAAAAATGAAAGCGAAAGTCTTTAAACTGTGCGTTGGTTTTATGGCCCAGGAAACCTTACTGGTAGGGGCCTAACTTAGCTTTGAAAATAAAAGAGATAGAAACGTCTGGTTTTCAACAAAATATTCTCCTTGTAAAAATAACGTTTCCTCCCCAGGAGGAAATTTTAAAACAACGTAGATTTTGAACTATCGCGAAAAGTCTTATTTTGGGCCTTATATTTATAAAGGTGTGCAGCTTTATAACTTTGCAGTTTGCGGATTCTTGTTCTCTGATTGGCTAAATCGTATCACGTGGTACGTGGTGCAATTGCATCCTTGGAATAATTGAAGCGTGCAAAATTGCAAATGCAATGAACTAACGAGCGCGCGCGGAGTTAATTCAGCAAGCTGTGAAAATTGGTAAGCTCACTGATAGACTTGGAGGACTTCGCCGCTTCGACGCGAACTAGCATTCTTCATTCTTGCTTCATGCTTGTTCGTCGATCGTTGCTCTGCTTCGCAGAGCAACGATCTCGATGGGTTGACATCGTCAATCAATGATAGACTTACCACTACCAGGAAGCTGTCCTAAAAATTTAGGCATATCCAATTATCAGACATTGATTATGTTACCACTCCTACTATAATAAATCGCTCGCCCAAATTTTAAGAAAATTCTTGTAAAAAGGCCTTTTGGATATGAAATTGATCTGAATCGGTCGCGGTGTATTTTTGGACGCTGATTCCGAATCACCCCCGAATGACGTAGGGTAAAAATGCTTCCCTGGAGAGTAATATCATATATGGCCGGGGCAAAAAACCGTTTTGGTCACGTGACAGGCTAGTAAAACAAGAATTCGATTGTTTAGGGCTCGGGTTAGAGTTAGGGTTGTGGTAAGGGTTATGGATAGCTTCGGGGTTATGGTTAGATTAGGGTTAGGGTTGGGATTAGGGTTTATGTAAAACCGTTTTGAACTTACATATCAGTAAAACGCGGTTTGTAGCTGTGTTTTGGTAAAAATAGTATGAATAAATTGTAAATGATCATTACATATATTAAAGTCACTATTGTGACGGTACATTAGAACCTGATATATCATATCAGGTTAATGTCCGGTTAAAAATGTTGAACTGAACAACCTCAAACTAAAAGTAAAAGTAAATAAAAGTAGTAGCAGCACCGCCGCACCGTAATGACCGTATACAATAAAGCAATAATCCACAATTATTGTATTTTGAATATTTAAAATTGGGTATAGATCAGGATAATAATTATTGAAGCTTCTAGTCAAAACTTTACCCAGTTGGCTGATCTATGGCCCGCTTCTCTCTCTATCCCCCAGAACACAAAAGTTCAATAGAAGAAATGAACAGCGAATATTTTTAACAAGAAAAGGCCTAAAAGTCAAAGCTTGATAAGACCAAAGAAAGGTTTCATTCAAAGGTTCCAATGCCATAACTATGAATCATTTGATCATATAAAAACTTAATTAGCGTGTAAGCAAAAAATTCAAGCGATATTAATCAGAGAACTAAATATTCAGCAAACAATTAATATTGCGGTCTTCATATAATCCCGAAATCTACAATGTCAAATGGTCTGATAATGACGTCACAGCACCCCTGATAATGACGTCACAGCACTCCCTTCTAATTTGACCTGTTCATGAACTCCTCTATTTCCTCTACTGTCCGGGGTATGTTGTGGGAGAGCAGTTCAGTTCCGTCAGCCGTTACTGCTACTCCGTCTTCTATTCGTACCTTAAACGTTGAACACGTTAAATTGTTATTATCATTTTATATTATCGTTTTATCATTTTATATTCTATTGTACCAAATAACGGAGTAGTTCGCTGTTTATTAGTCTCATGATTGAAATACTGATATCTGGATATTATCCGGTTGGAAGAGACAAGGACAAGTGAAACAAGGAAGTTAGGAGTAAGGGCAAATTTTCGGCGTCAACGCCATCTTCAGGCTAAAATTGTTATAAATGTTAGTATATAATAAATGCTTCTATACTAGTTAAAATGCTAAATTAAAATTACACACACTGAATACAGGTTACATCAAATGGTATTGTACATTACATTGAAAATAGTGATGTACACACGTTTTACACTCTGTCCAAGTACATAATATCTACTGAACAGCAGGGTCGTGTGCTATTTGTTTAAATTTGTCTTTGAATATGTTGTAAAAGAAATCCCTTAAGCTTCTCGCACTCTTCTTTGTTATTGATACTAGGTTTAAATAAATTAATGTAGTAAGCTTCTGTCACTTTACGTTTAATGGTGCTATATAAGTTAATTTCTAAAATATCGAAGGAAATATCTGGTTCTATGTTATCGTGAAACTCTGAATAATGAGCAGCCAACGCATTATCAGGATAGGTTAAAGGCCTGTTGACTGCTCTTCGATGCTCTGAAAATCTATCGTGTGCTGTTCTACTCGTTTCCCCTATATATAGCTCTTGACATAATTTACACGTAACTTTGTATATGACACATTTTGGTTTGCAGTCGTGATTTGTTGTGATGAGTGGACATATGATACAGTTTGGTATGGTGCAGTGTGGTTTGTCGTGTGGTCGTGATGAACATAAGATCTCTGAGAGTTTCTTACCTGGTGTGAATATGAATTTGACCGGTAAGTTGTGTGAGAGGGCAAATTGAGTGACTTCTTTGGAAAATGGCTCGTTGATGAATGGTAGAGTGCATGTTACGTGGTCGGTATCTTGTATGTTTGATGATGAAGGGTTATGACGTGTTGTAGGTGAGAGAGGGTGAAGTCGTCCTGTTTTGTTTATACGTCGTGGGTCTTGGTAACCGTTGTTGACCAACAAGTTGTCTACTATCTTCATGGACTCTTCTTTATACTCTGGTGTTGATGAGCAAAAAGCAGCCGTTTTGTAGAAGTTCTTGATGGTTGCTACTTTAGTTCCCTCATTGTGGTGGCTGTTGGCGTGCAGTGTGATATTCTTTTTCTGCTTCTTTCTGTAGAATTTGTGGTGTAGTGTTCCCTGTTCGTCGATCTTTATCTGGGTGTCGAGGAATGGGGTGAAATCCTGACGGCTTTCCGGATAGTCAATTTCCCATTTGAGCAACTGGTCTGGGTCCTCGTTTGAGATGGACTCCACTATCCTCAGAGCTTCTTCTTTGGAGCTGGCTAGACTCCCGGCATCATCCACGTATCTCCGGTAGAATGAGACGTGTAAATCAGTGTAAATCGATCTTCTCTCGAACATATATACTCGTACTATCGCTCCTATTGGTGATGGTTGGCACCCCATGAAGAGACCAATTTTCTGGAGGTAGAGTCTTGAGTGATATGTAAAGTATGAGTTGGTGAAGACGAATTCAAGGATCTTGTGGATGTGCGTGAGTGTTAGACCCCAGGTGTCGAGGTCTTCCCAATGTTCTTCGGTGAGTGTAATGAGGTCTTGAATGCAGCCACTGATGTTGATGTTTGTGTACAGTGCTGTGACGTCAGCTGTGAAGAATGAGAGACCTGAGAGTTGTTGATGTGACATGTTTTGAAGCTCTTCTAGGTGAGTGTGTATATTGCTCAGGTGAGATGGAACATGATTAAGCAGAGGAGATAGAATAGATTTAACAATCCAAGCAAGCTTCTCAGAAGGGGAATTTATACAAGACACAATTGGACGTATTTTACAATTAGAAATAATATAATGTCTTAGTTTCAGATGTAGATATTATTTCTAATTGTAAAATACGTCCAATTGTGTCTTGTATAAATTCCCCTTCTGAGAAGCTTGCTTGGATTGTTAAATCTATTCTATCTCCTCTGCTTAATCATGTTCCATCTCACCTGAGCAATATACACACTCACCTAGAAGAGCTTCAAAACATGTCACATCAATATATATACACGCGCACGTTTCTTTTGTTACAATTTCACCGCTCTTCAAAAAGTGCAGAAAGTTCCAGAACAAAGATCACCTTCCAACACAACGTGCAAGACCCGGGCCCGGTGGTACCTGGGGCTTGCCCCCAGGTCCCAATCCTTCCTGAAAACCACCTGGGCCTCCTATCAGAGAGTAAGTCCCTCTTTCTTACTTTCCCCAACTCCTTTATTCCTCCTTCTCTACGTATCCTTACCCAGGCTCGGTGGTACCGCCCGTAAGGGCGGTCCTACTCTCCTCTCCTAAAAGCCACCCGAGTCTGGCTCACCAGTGTAAGCTTCCCCCATCATTTAACCCCCCTGCTGCTGAACCACTATCACTACTACAAACCTGTGATCCCAGTGCCAGTAAAATTCCTTGTTCTTTGTTTCTCAAACTAACCTCACTTTCCAACTCCCCGAGGACAAGTGAAGCTGGAAACACAACAACATGTGAAAAGCTAATCTACAGCAACAGCAGCAAGGAGACTACAGCAATGAGAAAGGGGACACAAGATAATGAGCAGCTGAGTCCTTGCAAAATAACCATGAGTAAGGCGGAAGTTTCGAGATCATTTTATGCTCTTGTTACACTCCGCATTTTCCATACACATGTGTGCAGTGCTTTCTGTGTAATATTGTACACTGAGTTATCCACCTGTGTGTACACGTTCTATTTTGCTATTTAATAATATGTGCTGCTAACAAAATTACCCAACATCAGACGTGTCTAGCTTAATGCTTGAAAAAGCAATTAAAAATAAGCTCTGACAAGGTAAAAAATTTCCACGCAGACCAAACAGCTCCTCTGCCCCCGGGGCCCGGGGTCCCTGTGCTAACCCCCCAATGGGGGGAATTTGCAAATACTTCCCCTGCAAAATTAACCCTTTTTCCCGGGAGAGCAGAGCTGTCAGCACCGGCCCTTTACATTACACTTGTTAATTTGGAAAACATGCTATGTGAGAAGTGTGCTCCCTTTCAAGCGGCACCATTCCCCTCTCAAAACTTAAAACCCAACTTTTTTAGGCGATAAACCGTATGTCGTGACATGCAAAAAAACCCATCCGCACGTCACGCGATCAATACCCCCGGGGCTCCACCTCCCCCCCCGCCGGGGGAGGGGTTAAAAACACAAAGCAGACAGCGATCCCGGACTCAAACAGTTTCTGGCTCGCAGAGATCAAAAATAATGGAAAAAACCCACCTTGCTCCCCGCCACACCCCTCCCGGTTATCAAAAAAACGGTTGCGATGACGATGACGCGACAAAGAGGGATGGGAAAGGGGTTAGTCAAATACCAACCTCGGAGCGGATGACACTGGTTGGGGGGAGAAGGTAAAAAAAAAGCAACCCCCCCGGTAACTTTGAATGATGACTTTGCGCTGGGAAGTACAACAGCAAGCCGAACAAGCATGATGTCTAAAAACATCATTCTTCAAAATTTGGGATTGCTAAAATTTGGTTGCTGGAACCAAAAGACACATTGCGAAAGATAAAAAACCTTTTCACTGCCTATCAAGAGCCCAAATTTAAATTTTTTCCTTCGCCAAATTTCCCGATTACGCCCCTGAAGCTTTTCTCCTACCCCTGTTACCCGTTATACTAATTCCCCCGGAGGGGGGACAAACATACCCACGAAAAAAGAGGGGTTATCCCTGACCCCAATGGTCCCTGAAACCTTATAAAGGTTTTTTTCTATCTGGACCATGGTGACCCAAAATCCCCCGTCCCCACGCTCAGATCGGGGAAACGTGAAGCAAAACACTGAAAAATTTTCTACCCCCGCCGTCCCCTTCCCCACCCCAATTACCAGGGGGCCCGGGCGGCATTCCCACAAAAGGATCACAAAATGAACCAAAAGGTGGACGTTTTTTCCTTCATAGAATACGTGTCAAAAAAAGGGGGTGTCCGTTATTTCACAAAACACCCCAAAGTGGGTGCTTCAGTACAAGGGTTCTGATCAGGGATTTGGCCCCTCACGAATGTGTTAAATCTCTTTGAATAAGTAAGTTCTTTTCTGGGCGGGGACTGAAATCTCTCGGGAATCTTGCAACCCGAAAAAAAAGCCCCCCGAAAACATCCCCATATGTTCACCGGTCTGCCAAAAGTGCCCTGAACTTTTTGGGCCCCGATGTTCAAAAGTTACCAGAAATAAAAATTTCCCCGTCCCAAAAACCCGTTCCCCTCTCAGGGAACCCGAAAACGGTGGTCTATGGAAAACTTGTGGAAAAGTCAACCATCTTGTCGGGGCCATACAAAGCAAGGGAAAAAGTCAAGGCCTTCAACTAATCTACTCATTCGAAAGAACCTTAGAATACATTTTAAAAAGAAAAAAAAAAGTAACCTTCCTTCGTTCCTACACATCGGAACCAAGAACCTCAATCCCCCCCTGAGGTTAAACCCCAGCGTCGATTCACAAAGTAGTGATGTCAGCCTGGGAAACACATTTTAAATCACTGTTTTCCCGAGGCGAGTCAAAATCTAACTTGTTTTTTCCCGAATGAACCCCCTAGTTCAAGACGAGCCCCCTTTGGCCCTATTGAAAAAATGCGAATGCGACCCCGCCGAATTTACCGATTCAGATCATGCGCCAGCAAACCCAGCCACCAGCTCAACGGATATTCACAACGAAATAGAAATCCATAGCAAAGGTTGAACCCCCTGGGGAAAAGGGGAGGACTACCTTGACGAAGGAAGTCACCACTCCCGAGCCTCCCCCCCAAGCCAGTCACCCTATTGAACCCCAAATGAACCCGTTGATTGCAACTCGAAAACCGGGATTCCCTAACGAGAAGAAAATACGCTCCCAAATCACTCCCCCTAAAAAATATACGCAGTCAAAAAGCGAAGATACGCAG